GTGAACTCACCAGATCACTGTGTGCTGGCGCTGGGCTAGCACTACAGGTAGACTCCCTTTAATTCGAACCTCAAATTGCCATTTGCCCTAACTTCGAATTATCCAGAACTTCTAATTATCCAAATGCAGCCCCATGCACTGATATGTATGTCAAAATGCTTGAAATCGCATGCTGAATATAGTTTTGCACATTTTTATTTGCGTCAACGAAACATAGGTACGGGTCATGTACAACGGATCATCAAAACACTGGATTGACACAAAATCATCAGTGACATTATCTTCATCTTCTAGTGAAGAAGTTGTTAGTCACTGCAGCTTTCCTGAAACAATTTCAACGGAAAAGAACTGCGCTGCCTAATCCGCGTCATGAAAGGCCGTTGGACAGCAGCACGTCGTTCTGAAGAACGGAAGTGGAGCAAAGGCATAGACAATATTTACGACAATTGTGTTGTTGTGCGCCAACATCTCCGCGCACGAGCTGGCGCAGTAAGAAAGGCTATCGAGATCCGCGAAGAGAGTCAGCCACCTGGAAGACTGAGTCGTCTTCAATCAAACCTTTGCAATTTGCCTCGCACGGGCTTGAATCAAATTTCGAGAGAAGGTGGGTTTCTTGAACGCTATAGTCGATCCTGCAGCGGACCATCAATCGATTTTTGAGCTACTCTTGGCTTGAGAAGGAGAAAAGAATGAACTTCGAATTACAAGGATAGCAACTCAATCTCACTTCGAAATAAGCGTTCAAAGGACATAGCCAATGTACTGTAAACAGCTCTTCTGTACGAAGACTGGGTTCGAATTATCCAACCGGCGCACTTTTCGTACTTCGAATTATGCATTCGATTTTGACTTGAAGTGACTTGCAGAAGATCGGTACGACGATAAAGTTCGAATTACGCCCAATGTTCGAATTATACCGTATTTGAATTAGAGGGAGTCTACCTGTAGTACTAGTACTGCTGCTGCTGCTGGCACTGGCGCTGCTGCTGGCACTGGCGCTGCTGCTGGCACTAGCACTGCTGCTGGCACTGGCGCTGCTGCTGGCACTGGCGCTGCTGCTGGCACTGGCGCTGCTGCTGGCACTGGCACTGGCGCTGCTGCTGGCACTGGCGCTGCTGCTGGCACTGGCGCTGCTGCTGGCACTGGCGCTGCTGCTGGCACTGGCACTGGCACTGCTGCTGGCACTGGCGCTGCTGCTGGCACTGGCACTGGCGCTGCTGCTGGCACTGGCACTGCTGCTGGCACTGGCACTGGCGCTGCTGCTGGCACTGGCGCTGCTGCTGGCACTGGCACTGCTGCTGGCACTGGCGCTGCTGCTGGCACTGGCGCTGCTGCTGGCACTGGCGCTGCTGCTGGCACTGGCGCTGCTGCTGGCACTGGCACTGCTGCTGGCACTGGCGCTGCTGCTGGCACTGGCGCTGCTGCTGGCACTGGCGCTGCTGCTGGCACTAGCACTGCTGCTGGCACTGGCGCCGTGCTGGCACTGGCGCTGCTGCTGGCACTGGCGCTGCTGCTGGCACTAGCACTGCTGCTGGCACTGGCGCTGCTGCTGGCACTGGCGCTGCTGCTGGCACTGGCGCTGCTGCTGGCACTAGCACTGCTGCTGGCACTGGCGCTGCTGCTGGCACTGGCGCTGCTGCTGGCACTGGCGCTGCTGCTGGCACTGGCGCTGCTGCTGGCACTGGCGCTGCTGCTGGCACTGGCGCTGCTGCTGGCACTGGCGCTGCTGCTGGCACTAGCACTGCTGCTGGCACTGGCGCTGCTGCTGGCACTGGCGCTGCTGCTGGCACTAGCACTGCTGCTGGCACTGGCGCTGCTGCTGGCACTGGCGCTGCTGCTGGCACTGGCGCTGCTGCTGGCACTGGCGCTGCTGCTAGCACTGGCGCTGCTGTTGGCACTGGCGCTGCTGCTGGCACTAGCACTGCTGCTGGCACTGGCGCTGCTGCTGGCACTGGCGCTGCTGCTGGCACTGGCGCTGCTGCTGGCACTGGCGCTGCTGCTGGCACTGGCGCTGCTGCTGGCACTAGCACTGCTGCTGGCACTGGCGCTGCTGCTGGCACTGGCGCCGTGCTGGCACTGGCGCTGCTGCTGGCACTGGCGCTGCTGCTGGCACTGGCGCTGCTGCTGGCACTGGCGCTGCTGCTGGCACTGGCGCTGCTGCTGGCACTAGCGCTGCTGCTGGCACTGGCGCTGCTGCTGGCACTGGCGCTGCTGCTGGCACTGGCGCTGCTGCTGGCACTGGCGCTGCTGCTGGCACTGGCGCCGTGCTGGCACTGGCGCTGCTGCTGGCACTGGCGCTGCTGCTGGCACTGGCGCTGCTGCTGGCACTAGCGCTGCTGCTGGCACTGGCGCTGCTGCTGGCACTGGCGCTGCTGCTGGCACTAGCGCTGCTGCTGGCACTGGCGCTGCTGCTGGCACTGGCGCTGCTGCTGGCACTGGCGCTGCTGCTGGCACTGGCGCCGTGCTGGCACTGGCGCTGCTGCTGGCACTGGCGCTGCTGCTGGCACTGGCGCTGCTGCTGGCACTAGCGCTGCTGCTGGCACTGGCGCTGCTGCTGGCACTGGCGCTGCTGCTGGCACTGGCGCTGCTGCTGGCACTGGCGCTGCTGCTGGCACTGGCGCTGCTGCTGGCACTGGCACTGCTGCTGGCACTGGCGCTGCTGCTGGCACTGGCGCTGCTGCTGGCACTGGCGCTGCTGCTGGCACTGGCGCTGCTGCTGGCACTGGCGCTGCTGCTGGCACTGGCGCTGCTGCTGGCACTGGCGCTGCTGCTAGCTGTCGACGACGGAACGAAAAAACGATTCACTGTCAAAGCTGGAGTACTCCGCTCCACAGCTTCACAATGCTTTTTCCCCTTCGCGTGACTCTTGACTGAGGAGATACCGCCGCCTGAAACATCAAAATCTGACCTGCAGAGTGAGCATTGTGCTCTGAATTCATCGCTGGGAATAGCTACTAGCCACTTGCGAAACTCCGGTGTTGATAGCCAAGCGTCACGAAAATGACATTTTCCCTTCGGAGGCATCTCCGCCACAACTGCTCCGACGCACGGCGAGTTACGAGAAAAACCACACCATGTACCAGCGAACTACTCAATCTGCGGTGAACTACAAAAAGAAGAGCCAGTAGAGGCTAGACTAAAACTACTTACCACTTGAAGAGCGCGAGCAACTAAAGTAGTTACTCGAAAAATTCAAAAGTGTGTAGTTTCGACCCGTCGACACAGGACCACCGCCGTACTTCCCGCTAGTACTGTAGCATGTATGTAGCTACAGAACTAGAGTGCAGGCGCGAACGGCAAGATCCAGCCGAGAAAGCCGCGCAGTAGGGATGTTCTGCTCTACGTTTTGGGAACGCGACGCGAAGAATCACGCGAACTCTCTTCGCGTTCCCGTGACGTAAAGAAATCCTGTTCTGCTCTACGTTTCACGTAGAGAAGTCACGTGGAATGTGTACTGGGAATTTCCCCTTCCATATTTGGCAGTTTTCTGCATGCAGTTGATCGATACCCAGCAAATCCGTACGCATTTTCTCTGCGTGTGCCACAACGTAGAGAACCTCATCTCCGCGTAGAAATCTGGAGCCAAAACACGCGAAGCCGTAGACTCTAACCCAGACTCCTGCTCTCTACGTGATTTCTCTACGTTTCACGTACAGCAGAACCTCTCTAGTGATTCTTTGCTTCGCGTGCACTTGTGTACGAGTCGCACGTGTCAAGTATTTGAAGTAGATCTACACAACAGTCGATCACAGTGGCATGCTTGCCATAGACACACACACAGTGGCATGCTTGGTAACACACACACAGTGGCATGCTTGCCATACACACACACACAGTGGCATGCTTGGTAACACACACACAGTGGCATGCTTGGTAACACACACACAGTGGCATGCTTGGTAACACACACACAGTGGCATGCTTGGTAACACACACACAGTGGCATGCTTGGTAACACAAACACAGTGGCATGCTTGGTAACACAAACACAGTGGCATGCTTGGTAACACACACACAGTGGCATGCTTGGTAACACACACAAAGTGGCATGCTTGGTAACACACACACAGTGGCATGCTTGGTAACACAAACACAGTGGCATGCTTGGTAACACAAACACAGTGGCATGCTTGGTAACACACACACAGTGGCATGCTTGGTAACACAAACACAGTGGCATGCTTGGTAACACAAACACAGTGGCATGCTTGGTAACACACACACAGTGGCATGCTTGGTAACACAAACACAGTGGCATGCTTGGTAACACAAACACAGTGGCATGCTTGGTAACACAAACACAGTGGCATGCTTGGTAACACACACACAGTGGCATGCTTGGTAACACACACACAGTGGCATGCTTGGTAACACAAACACAGTGGCATGCTTGGTAACACAAACACAGTGGCATGCTTGGTAACACAAACACAGTGGCATGCTTGGTAACACACACACAGTGGCATGCTTGGTAACACAAACACAGTGGCATTCTTGCCATACACACAGTACATGCACAGGGTACACTGATGCCGCCAAAATACTGAATTTCAAGGATATTTCAGGACAAACCAGGTATTTTAACAAGATTTACGGGTTTTTTCAGTATATTCTTTACTGGGAATTTTTTAGGTATTTTTTAGGGTTTTCAAGGGCTGTGCGGACCCTGTCTAGATGAAACAACGGACTGCGTTTTTCGTTGAATGGCTTGAAAAACCACAGAAATCGACAAATGACTGGGCGGGTGCCACCTTCGCAAAGAGGGGTGCTCAATCAGACTAGAAGGGCGCTGCAAAAACAAAATACATGTAATGGAAAACTGCTTTTGTCCGTTTCTGGCTGTTGGTAAAGCATCTACTTATGACCGTGCATTCATCTATCTCTACTCTACAGGTTTTGTATCCTCATCGCCTTTGTTCCCGCATTGTAATTAACATGAAAACGGAATCGGATATCATCCAATCCCGCATTGTAATTGCGTTATTGATCCAAGCACTTACCGGTACCACGGGGAGTTGTACACAGGATGGTGTTGCGGGAAATACGAGATTATCAGATGCACCGCTCTCAGATACCGATGGAGAAATGGCCCCATCTGACCAGGGATGTAAGCTTCCATCGACTTGCGATGCTTCTGTGGCGTTGGAACTGATTCGAAATGTGTCATAGGCCACAGAATTGCTGAAGGTGAATTCATCTCCTCGATACAGGCATTCATACTGCAGTTATCCGCATAGTTATCATGCATACAGCCACACACAGATAAATGTGCATAGATGTCATGCATACATACACAGACACACAAATATACACAGGTATCATACGCGCACGCACACACACACACACACACACGCACACACACAATACAATATGTCCATCTGGAGATGATAGCAGGTCCCGAAAGGACCAACAGTGTTCAAGTCACGAGCAGAATCGGGCGTGGCGAGTCAAGTCCTGGCGACGGCGATAGCGCGCACACACACACAAGGGACGGATACAGGGGGGGGGGGGGGTCGGGAGGTTCGTACTAACACCCCTAATTTGTTCGAGCATAGTTCAGGTGTGACCACTAACCCATGCAACTTGCGCGCCCCATGCTATCGACCAGTCGGCCAAGACCAGAGCGGTCCACTAGCTATGTAGCTTGGTAGAGGCGACGGTTCGATACCGGAACGGCTTGACAGCGAAATTTGTATAGACCCAAACCGATCATCAGCATGGATTGTTCACTCGAAATATGTTTGTGGAAGGAAACATGTTGAAATTTGCTCTGAGGCCAGAGTCAATCGAACTGAGCCACTCCTTTGTGTTGGCCCGTTGCCTCCAAGTTGCCCCATTTTTCGCTTCAAATCAGAGGTGGCTCAAAACCGGAAAGGTTTTAGAGTGCACGTCAAATTCACTGCACGTATATAGATATATAAAGGACCGTAATGGTGTACATAATATAGATCCGCACTGAATAGGCGCGTGCCCCGTATGGGTTCCTGGGTGCCCGGAACCCCCCCCCCCTTTTCGCCAGTCATGGTTGCCAGGGCGAAATCAGGGAGTCGTATCTTACAACTCCCTGGGTGGGTAAAATCGACTTCAGCAGCTTTGAGTTTGTTCGCGGTGCATGCATGCACCACTGCACTGCACTGCGCGCCGCGTGCCAGGTGTTACTATGTGTATACGGTACATGTATGAATCTCGAGAACTGTTAGTGTTGCGCGATATGCGGGGACTGAGTCAGGTGGGGAAAATAATTATTGATTTTGGAAATCATCTATCGAGGATTTTCTAGTGGCACTTGTTCATGACTGTTTTCCAAGAGGATGTCCTCCAAAAACAGTCTACACTCTCCTCCTGCTGGACAAAATCAGGCAGGAAAGAATCAGAGGAACCTGTGAATGCACCTGACGATAGTAGTACTGGGTCTAATTCTTGTGACTCGTCCCCTCCTGCCAAGCGCTTTTTTCGCTCCAGATCCAAGCCCTTCTGCTGCATTTGCCTGTGTGAGTGAAACCGAAAATGTCGAGCAAGACATAGATTATTCAGACGTAGGTAAACTGTATGACAGTGGCACTGGTAGATGGAAACGTCAGCCATCGGCGTTGGACTTCCAAGAAAAGTTCGGATTCGCTTCAGCTTGGCACTCTATCCCGCGAGTCAACACCGGGCGCCTCAGAGTACAATATGACGGACAATTATTAGAGATGAGCTGCTGGAGAAAGTATAAATCAGCTTTTCTGCGGGAAAGAAATCGAAAGTTTCTTCCTTTGTGCTGCATATCTTCAATAATGTTTTAACAGCAGATTGCAGAAAATAGAGGTAAAGGAAGGTTTATTTGTATAGCAGCATCAACTCTTCTGCCTCCCCCCCCCCTCCCCTCCCCCTCCCCCCCTGTCCCCATTCTCTTTGAACACTTACTGCAGACTGTCCGTACTGTGTTGTTTCGATGACAGGTATAGACAGCGGAGTGGGGTTGTCTGCTAATGTTTGTAGCACTCCTTCAGCTGGTGAGTGTTGCGTGGGCGGTGCTGGTGCTGGGCGTTTCCGTGGTAATCTGGTTGCCATACCTATTGCGGATAACGCAGACGTTGCAGAGGACAATGGTGGTGGCAGTGCCGGCGGTGATGGTGATGATGATGAGGTGTGCGCATTTGGTGCGGGAGCTGTTGAATCATGTTTTGCGGGCGCTGCCGTCTTGTCTTCTGCTAAACAAATCTGCTTCGATGATGGATCAGTGGGTTGGGGCGGGTTTTGCGGCCGCCCTGAATTACCCACTGATGCTTTCTCTGTTGTTGCTGCTGTTGCTATTGCTGCCGTTGCTGCTGGTGTTGATACTGTTGACGCTGCCGTTGCTGCTGGTGTTGATGCTGTTGCTGCCGGTGCTGCTGGTGTTGATGCTGTTGCTGCCGTCGCTGCTGGTGTTGATGCTGCTGCTGCCGTTGCTGCTGGTGTTGATGCTGTTGCTGCTGCCATTGCTGCTGGTGTTGATGCTGTTGCTGCCGTTGCTGCTGGTGTTGATGATGTTGACGCTGCTGATGTTGCTGCTGGTGTTGCTGCTGATGTTGCTGCTGGTGTTGCTGCTGGTGTTGCTGCTGATGGTGTTGCTGCTGATGTTGCTGTGGCTGTGTCTACAGCATAGGGTTGTACCGGTGCTGTTGCAGATAGTGGGTTGAAGCCAGTACATGTCCTTGGCACATCCCAATCCAGTGTTCTATAGCACTCTGCGACAAGTTTGTTGCTGTTGTTTTCTCGGCTGAGCAAGTTGTACATGGAGGGCCAGTTGTTGACATAAGCCTATTTTCACATATGACAGGAAGTCGGCACCAAGAATAGAACAGAAAAAATGAAGCGACACCAGCGACAACAACACCAAAAACAAGAACAAAAATGAGCACCCAGCCTGCACCATCAATACATAGACATTCGCTAGGATACCAGCTTGAAGTTAGATGGAAACTAGGGGTGAAACGAATTTTAGAACGTTCGACTAGGGGTTCGCTCTAAGTGGGAGTTGAAGACAATTCGATTCGCTACTTCAAGGTGTCGAACGTTCGTCGCTGCATATCTCTAATATAAGCACAGTCTCCAATAATAGCACGTCTCCAATAATAGAACACCTTGGGGCGGCATTCAAAAAATAAAGTGCTCAGTCTCCATTATAAGCACACTGTGTAAATTCATTATCTGTACCGGCGAAAAAAACCCTGAAACGTGTGTGTCATACATGAATTTGGCATGGCAACATACCTCTGGAATGAGGTTGAAATAATAATGGAACAGTCTCCAATAAAGGAACGTCTCCAATAATAGCACGGGGCGGAGGTACATTGAAAAAATAAATGACCGTGCTTATATTAGAGATAATACGGTATGTACATGCAGTCGCATGTATGTATTGGAGATCACAATGTACATGTACACTATGCAAAGCTCAGCCAGCCACCCTCCGTCACCCTCTGTCACCCTCTGTCACCCTCCGTCACCCTCTGTCACCCTCTGTCACATGCACATCCCTATTACAGGTAACAGCAGCTATTCCAGTGTTACCAAGTGCCCTCTGCCCCCATGCGTACTGCCCAGTGCCATTTTGCAGAATTTTGCAGGGCTTTCCGTACTCGTTTTTCAGGTCAACATTTTGACTGATTTAGTGTAATTTGGAACAAAAAGACGATACTGTACAACTTTTCAAGCCACAGAGTTCACTTGTGAAGCCTACGAATTCAGTACAATATCAACTTCACCAGGTCATAACTTTGGTCTACTTTGCTTGATTTTCACAATCTAGGGCTTGTTGGAAAGCTCTTGGCAGGAGCAACGCCAGGATGCCAAGCTCCATGATGAAGCCGTCACTAATCAGGCGTGGTAACACAGCGAAGTCGTCTCCAAGCCTAATACGCAAGCAAATTCAACACCATTCCACTCTCTTTCATCGCAGAACGCTCAATTTTTTTCGAGGCGATTAAAACTTCAGCCGGCTACATCATTATGAAGTGCTCTGTCGCCAGCGCTCAAAGAGCACGCAAAAAGAGATTTTCCCCACAAATGGCGAAGAGATCGATCAAAAATTTGATTTTGCCGAGGTAACTTTTCAAGAATACCTGAATACGGCGCACAATATCTCTGGAATCCGACATCGTAACGCTTCAGCGATTGTTGCATTGGATAGCTTGGAGTTGCTGCTACCACGTAGACCCTTCGATTATTGAATTGGCGCAAGAAACGATGGAGTTACGAAGGTATTAGCAATCATTCATATACATGATCGTTTGCGGGATATTCGATTGAAATCCGTACTGCGGACAAAACTTCGTTTTTCCGTAAAAATACGGACAAATACGGGTGGTTGGCAACACTGCTATTCAAAAAAGAAAGTGATTATAGATTGTCCAATTCTTGGTTGTTTTACGAATTTGATAGAGTGCTTGTGTAGACACTTGTCGGATTTTATAGTCTGTGAGTTTGTCAAGCGAAGCGTTAAGTTCGTCAGAATGTTTCATTCACCTCTATTGGGGTTCGTTTCAACCCTTAGGGGCCGTCCAAGGTTACCAAGGTCACCAATAGTATTTTCAAAACGATTTTTTTTCGTTTGGGGTGGGTGGGTTTTAGAAGTTTTCGTTTTGAAAATAATTTCAAAAAAAATTATTATTGAATGTACGTGGAGAATACCCAGTTACTTCTGGGTGCCGACAATTGAGATCAATATTTTGTTGGACTGCGTTTTTACCTGCAGAAAGGGTGGGTGGGTGTGTGCTTGGCGGTTGAAAAATACTAAAACCTTTCGTTTCGAAAAAACAATCGGTAACCCCTGACGGTGCCTAACGGAAACAAAAAATTAACTTTCGCATTAGTTTTCTCTGATCACCGGACCGGTTTTGAACTGCCCTCATGGAATGTTTGGTGGCTCACTTATCACAGTAGTTCCACACAAGGCTTGGTGTGCTAACGCTGGCAGCCCGTGTTGCTTCATCTCCGGAATCAGCGCAACATCTCTTCCCTGCTTTTTTCCTCAGGTTCAGCGACGTTAGTGATGTTTTGTCTTCATGTTTTGAAGATGGACCAGACACCTGGTTTTATTGCTTCTGGCTATGGCACATGCCGACCCATTTATCTGTGTACGTCTCCTGGCTATAGCACATGCCGACCCATTCATCTGTGTATGTCTGCGGGTCTCCAGGCATGGGCAGCATTATCAGAGAGCTCTTTTCTCAAGATGTAACCCGTAACTAAGTTGGTAAGTAGAAAGAGAATTGGTGTAGTTGGCAAGGCTAAAACGTACCAGGCTAAGAACACAAGGAAAACACGGAGCAGAAAACCTACATGCCCTTCATCGTCACAGCATTTGGGAGACGCAGCTCCAGCTGACTTGATCTTGGCAGCAATAGTTGGCATAGATTTCCAACGTTTGATCGGCTGTGGTTGCTGCTCAGAGATTTCACCCAGGGTTTCCCACGGATCAGCTTGTCCAGGCTCGGTCCCATCCTCTCTTAACTCTTCGGTGTACAGTTCGCTATCTCCTTTGCCATGCCCAAGTGAATACCTCCCAATTGCCTGCAACGACAAATATTCAACAGAAGAAACAAATGTTGAAATCATTTTTATGCAGCGGACTAATGGCTGGGTAAAATGAGAAGGGGTGGGGTTGGGGGCATATATAGTAGACACATGCCATATATAGTAGACACATTCCATATATAGTAGACACATGCCATGGACACATGCCAAAGACCAAGACAATACCACCGTTGAGAAATCGTTTATCACTGACACTGCCGGACCAACCAAACATTGCGTCTGCACGACACTCATTAACTTTAACAATCACTCTAAAAACAGTAGATGAAATCACATTGTCATTGCTTGACAGCGTACAACGCTTCATTCAGCACATACGCTACGCGCCACACATCATATCACACGGACACAATCATATATTAGACCTTACATAACATCAAGCGTTGGACCGTGCAAGACGAAGTAATCAGCGAGCTCAACTTGTCTAACAGAATACGGTCGTTGGGCTATTTCACTGATTAGTTTGATTTTTTTACTATTATTCACAAACCCAACTCGTAAAATTAATATTTGGAAATCCGAATTCCGCTGACGATGCATGGCCTTTACAGTGTAAAACTGGTACAGCTCACGTAAACTTAAAAATGCATAACCTCGTTAGTACGGCCCTCGGCCCATGTCCCTGTGGCCAAAACACTCGATATGAAGTTGTACCCTCCATGAGCGGCAAAGAGAACCAAACCCATGACTTGCATGCAAAAAGACCCAACGCAATTTTATCTGTTGAAATTGAAAAAAAAGTAAAATCCAATAATTTGTAGCCACAATTGATTTTCGTGACTGAAGAATAATAATACCGTATGCTGTTGTTAAAGAACTCTTCCTCTCCTATCCTCCATGCGCTCTCACAGCCGACTCACTGCTACCATCGGTAGCCATTACACACACCAACAGCCATACAAGGAAGGGTTGCAGGTAGATACTGAAATTCCTCCTGACAGCTGTTTCGCCTTCATAAGGCTCATCAGAGAAGGTGATATTGAATAGGATTTTTTTACTAGAGCCATGTAAACCCGCCATGTGTGAGCCATGAATAAGGGGGGGGGTGGTGGCGTGGTCTGGGATGCTCTGCCGACCTTGGGTCTCGGCTTCATCACAACCAGGCGCGTCAATAGCAGAGAAAGAAAGAGAGGGAGGGAGGGAGAGAGACAGAGAGAGACAGAGAGAGAGACAGAGAGAGACAGAGAGAGAGACACACACACACAGAGAAAGAGAGAGAGAGGATGATATCAGGTGGAGATGGTCAGATTTATACTACAAAACATGGGCGCAAGATTACGGGCAAAGTGTGAGAATGAGATATTACAATTCTCCAGCAACACAGTGCCAGGGGTTCCAAGAAAATGGCAGGTGAGAAATCCAATCACAAGCTGCTAACATTAATTTTCTAACGGCTAGGCGATAGTTTAAGAATTTTGGCGAACCACCAAACAAAGTGAAAGAAAGTCATGAAGAGTAGAGTACTAAGCGTGCAGTGCAAGCGTGCAGTACTAAGTGTGCAGCGCTTAGTACTCTACTCTTCATGACTTTCTTTCACTTTGTTCGGTGGCTCGCCAAAATTCTTAAACTATCACCTAGCCGTTAGAAAATTAATGTTAGCAGCTTGTGATTGGATTTCTCACCTGCCATTTTCTTGGAACCCCTGGCACTGTGTTGCTCGAGAATTGTAACTTCTCATTCTCACTCTTTGCCCGTAATCGCCAATGTTTTGTAGCATAAATCTGACCATCTCTACCTGATATCATCCTATTCAATATCACCTTCACTGATGAGCCTTATGAAGGCAAAACAGCTGTCAGGAGGTATTTCAGTATCTACCTGCAACCCTTCCTTGTATGGCTGTTGGTGTTTGTAATGGCTACCGAGGGTAGCAGTGAGTCGGCTGTGAGAGCGCATGGAGGAGAGGAGAGGAAGAGTTCTTTACATTTTATTGGCGGAATAGTACCGTTCACCATTTGAAGTATGTTGTTGTTGTGCATTTATTTATAGTCGTTCAACCAAACAGGCAATGAATGGTGCCGTCTCACAAGGAGACGACTTAGAAGATATGTCTGATAAGAGCCCGTAGTTCCTATAATTTCACTGACAGCTCTACCTGCGCTACTATTAGAGACTGGGCTATTATTGGAGACTGTGCTTGAATTCATTTTTCAATGTCCCACTATTAAGCCATCTCCAGTCTATAATTATAGGCATAAACTGCTCATGCATGCACCAGTCACCTGGTCACTTTGCCTGCAGGATACAACTTACCACCTGTTTCGGCGCTTTCCTGCCACTCTAGTCGAACAATTGAAGGGATTGAGTTGAACCTTGGTGTGAAAGTTGTAGCCTGGCATGGTGACCAGGTGACTGGCATGGTGACCAGGTGACTGGCGTGACCAGGTGACTACTTATTCCACCATGTTCTATTGGGAATATGGGCCAAATGCTTCAACGCAGCCTTCTCGCACCAAAACCAGTCGATTCAGCGTTCAAAAGACTAACATAGGGGCCATTTTGCAGTCGTCCTTGCCTTTATAAGAACGATAGGGGCCAATTTGCAGTCATCCGGGCCTTTATAAGAACGAAATGGTGCCTTTAGTGACATTTTGCATACAAATCCTCGTCTAGTAGGGCGCAGTCACCCAGTTTATGTGGAAGCGGCGAGTTTGATTGTGATTCGTGAATAAAGGAGGAAGGGAGCGTCTCAGCTTCCTTGGACCAAGACCATTCGACTCAGCACTCGAAGACTACCGTATTTCCCCGATTATAAGAAGCACTCGATTGTAAGTCGCACCCCCATTTTCAGGTTTGTGCAATATTGTTGCGATATATTCACTTCAGTAGAAAGTCATGCTTGATTGTAAGTCGCACCCCCTTTTTACCCTGAATTTTAGAGTAAAAAGGTGCGACTTATAATCGTGGAAATATGGTACAATTGGAGAAAAATTAATTTTAGGCTTAACTTCGCCGAGATGATGTGCTAAGTACTCAGTTCCCATGCTAGATGGACGACGATATACTGCCCTTCAACCCAAAAGAGCTCGCTTAACCATACCAGTGCGGAATTAAGGGAATCATCCATTTGCTGAGAGTTGGCACTGCGTGACAGCTGCTGGTGCTGGGGAGATTGCTTATTCTCGGAGTCCATTACCGAGCCCAGGTCCACCACCGCGGCGCTGCACTGTTGTTCTGAGGAGTTTCCTCTGGATGCGGGCTGGTGTCTGTTGTCGGCCATGTAGGGCGAGAAGTGCATCATACTGTGTTGGCTGTGGTTACCAGCCACTGCTTTCCCGTCAAACCAACTCTCGGCCTGTGCACGGGGAAATGGACACACGCAGAGTTGGGAGGTGCAGAATACAGTGCATTTCACATGGGTTGGTCACAGTAACGCAAAAATAATGACACGTACAATAATCTTACAGAACACCACCATGTGTGAATGTTGTCAATAGCTTTTCAGAGAAGACTTCAAGAAGACGAGAAAAGGAGATTGAATGAGACAGCTCACAGTAGGTGCAGGAGATATTGCAGATGCTGAAGCAGCAGGGTCAGCAAGATCACAGCCTACGGAAAAGGGCAAAAACCAGCATGTGACCAAGCTAGACAGCGTTGGAGGCATGGCCGTGCCTTGTTACTGAAGGCACGTCGAATGTGGTATACGTCTACGATCCTATCTCAGCTCTCTTATGCGTCTAACGGCATCTCTTTCCTGCCCTGTCATGTTCTCTGCTAAATTGCCTTCTACAAATAGTGCTGGGTGTCAGGCTGCTCGCCGCACAGTGCAATAGCTCTTTTGCTTGCCCTGTTATCCCTGCCATCACTTCACCAAGTCAAATGATCCCCACTCGTGGACAAGTTTCTGCTGCTCTTGTTCTTCCCCTTGCCAACACCCGATTTGGTTCCAGTGCAATTTCTTACTTAGGTGCTGATAGGTGGAATGCACTGCCACCGGCTTGCCATACGCCAAGGTCACCAGCTGAATATCGCGGATCTATCAAAATGTTCCTAGGGTTCCCTGTAAAAAGGCGTCGCCGCCTGTTGGGAATTCCCTAGTAAAACAAAAATAAATAATAAATAAGTCCTGTTACAGAAACTATCATACAGCCACTCACCCTGCGTACGTGCTCCACTGAACTTTCTCTTGTCAAGTTGGTTTTCGATGTGCCGACGCCGTCGTAGGCGACATTCGCTGTCATAACATTCTCTTTCCTTTTCGTATAGCGCCAGTGAATCACCACAATTATGGTGGACAATACTGCTAGGCCTAGGATACTGTATCCAGCCGCCTTAAGGTCAGTTATCCGTATGCTGACATGTCCAGTGTTCCTTTTCGTTGGCTTGCTTATCCCGGGTTCACCTCCGGCCGCGGTTGCATTATCTCGGCCGCTCGTAGCAGGTGTACCTGTCTCAAGGCTAACTTCAACGGTCCCATAGTGAGTTTTCCCGGACAGTAGTCTCGCTGAAGCTGGGTACTCGGAGTCCTCCTGGCGGTCATCAGGTGGTGCACTGACTATATCACCCGCATCTCTTTTGGTACGTCCCAGGCCTTCTGAGGTGCTCAAACCTCGTGCTGGCATTATGCCAGGGTTGTCCGGTAGATTCCTGGGCAATAGCAGCATATTGGGACAACAGAAATGTTCACCCTTTAAAGTTTTGACTTTTTTGTATACGGAACTCGCGGGTCACAGAATGCACGTTATAGCTTGAACACGAAAGACATTATGTGTATACAAGTTATGTTTTCCTGAAAGGGCTTGGAATACTGCACCATATAAAAAAACCGGACCAAAAAAGACCAATTTTGTCAGGAATTACAGCTCAGTGAATATTGATACGCATGAAATACACGTTCTTGAACAGGGTAAGGGAAACTAATGTCTATCCAAAGGAGAATTTTGTTGTGATTCTACCATTATGATGCACTGTATATCCTCTACAGATCATCGAGGTGGGCCAAGAAGCAGTTTTGAGTTTCCCCGATGAAGAAGTGCTTGGGATGGCCATCCCGGTTCACACATACTGAGTAGGCGAATACGCTCTTGCAGCGTGGCTTGCCCACATCTCGGCAATAGGAACACTCGCGCCTTTTGTCTGTGTGGACAGGACCGTGTTGCTTCTTCAGGGTCTTGGCCAAGCCTTGCGCTGGCCCAGGCATCAACAGGGGCACATCGGTCTTATCCGTGATGTCTGCAAGCTGCCGGATGATTGCGAGCCTGTAGTCGAGATGGCTGTTTTCTCTGGTTGTCTTGATGACACCTGGGTTTTTTTCAACCCACTGTTGGAACAAAACCCAGGAGTTGACAAGAGCAACATCGACGAAGTCAAACAGCAATGTCTTCCAGTATTTTCTTGTCTTACGAAGAACACGGTATGTCGACACGTGCTTATCAAAAAAGATCCACGCCACCCACAGCAAAGTTGTAGTCATTGATCAGCTTGGGCTTCTTGAGCTCCAAATCTCTGACGACGTTGTTTCCCTTCACCTTTCTTGTCACGTTCACAAAATCCACTGCACTGTGCATTGTTGAAATTACCGTGACCGGGCGCTTGTCCTTCCACTGCAAGTGAACAATGTTTCCATCACGCACGAAACGAATAGATCCTCTTTCCGCGTGCCGCTGAAATGGTTTCACATTTTTTAGAACATCGGGGAAGCCCCGCCGATTAGTCTGGCAGGTCCCAGCAGCAACTGTGTTATGATTATCACGCAGGTCGGAGAAGAGTCCAGGAGAAGTGTAGAAGTTGTCAGTATAGAGTTGGTATCCCTGACCAGAAAGAGGCTGCATGAGTTCGATGACGATGTTGTGTGCTAATCCATGTTCAACTTGGCCGGGCTGGTCACGGCCGGTGTAGATCTTGAAGTTGAATAAATAGTGAAAGGTGCTGTCGCAGAGAGCAAATACTTTGAAACCAAAACGAACAGGTTTGTTGGATATGTATTGCTTGAAGTAAACGCGTGCTTTAGATTTTATCATCCTCTCATCGATAGCAATCTTCCGGTGTGGTTGGAATAGGTCACGACACTGTGTTTGGAAGTGGTCGTTCAGCTGGCGTACTTTGCGGAGCTTGTCGGCTGGATCTTCGGTAGACGGATCCACCACATGGAGGAACGACAACAGTGCCTTGTATCTTAGGAAGGTCGGGATCATCTGACGGGCCCATAAGCCATGGAAGAGTGTTGAGGAACTCCAGTATTGAGCCAGTTGCGGTGCACGAACAATTCCCATACAAATTGTAACGGCAAGTAGCGACATAATTTCAGCGGAGTCAGTGTGACTCCAAGCTCCAAACTCATCCTGGTACGAACTTCGTTCCAGAATATGGATGGCAGCATTTGCATCTGTGTATTCCACGATACTAGAAATTATTTCAGAGGTGAAGAAGAGTTGGAAAAAATCCAATTCTCTGGTTGGCTGGAATCCATCAGGGAAGTGACAACCAGGTTCGCGCGATGGAGTAAATTCGGGCTGCTCGGGACACTCATCCTCACTGTCCCAGTCGCCAATGGCGACGTCTCCATGGACAGGAGCGTGTGCTCCGCCGCGACCTCCACGCGCACGCGGAGCTCCCGCACCTCGAGCTCCGACACCCCGACCTCGACCACGGTCGCGCGCACCTCGAGCACAACCTCGACCTCGACCTCTGGTTGGGCCTCTGCGCTCCCGACGAGGACGCGCTGCATCAGGTGCCGTGTCACTCGAGCTATCAGCTGACGACTGGAGTGACGAGCGTGAAAAATCAGCTGCCTCGCGGGACTGGTCTGAAAATTCTTCTTCAGAATTTTCATCGCCTTCAGAGACGATATCCTCTTCTTCCGAGTCTTCCGAGCCGTCTTGAAGTAAGGCTATGTCCAACTCCGACTCCTTGCTGGACGGCAAACCTCCAGAGGACTCGTCTTCAGAGTCGTCAAGGCCAATGCCGCCCGTAGCCCCTGAAAACAGTGCATCGAGTGCCTCGTCCACGGATAAATTTCTGTGCGCCATGGCGCATGGCGGAAGCTGGCGAGTGTTTTCCTTTGCTCAGTACACAAATTTTTCAAATGGCAACGCCAGTCAAATGGTACCTCATGCGGAACGCGTGGGTGCGTACTAGTTGTAGCCAAAGTCGCGCGACTCTAGCACGAATGTGACCAAGGCCCGCGAAGTTTGAATGTGCGTGGTCGAAGCGGTCGTAAACGACCGCTTCGAGTATGGGCAAAACAATAGAGGGTTAAAGGGGAAATTAAGGCAAAAATCAAAATTTCACCAGTTGTAGTCTTCGGGGTGCTGAGTCGAATGGTCGTGGTCCGAGGAAGCTGAGACGCTCCCTTCCTACTTTAATCCCAATCGAACTCGCGCACTTCCACCGAAACTGGGTGACTGCGCCCTACTAGCTGGGGATTTGTATGCAAAATGTCACTAAAAGCGCCATTTCGTTCTTATAAAAGCATGGATGACCGAGATTGGCCCATATGTTGTAGTCTTTTGGACGCTGAGTCTATTTGTTTTGGTCCGAAAAGGCTGCGATGCAGCGTTTCTCCTTTATTCCCAATCGAACATGGTTGAACAAGCGGTCACGTGCTCCTGCGTACACCAGTCACCTGGTCACCATGCCTGCAGGGTACAACTTACTAGCCTGTTTGACCTTTTTCAGGTGCAGTCCTGTCACTCGAGTTGAACCCGAGTTGAACCTTGGTGTGAAAGTTGTCGCCTGCTGGCGTGGTGACCAGGTGATTTGGGCACCCAGGAGCATGTGACCGCTTGTTCAACCATGTTCGATTGGGAACAAAGGAGGAACGCTGCATCGCAGCCTTTTCGGACCAAAACCAGTGGACTCAGTGTCCAAAAGACTACAACATATGGGACAATCGCAGTCATCCGTGCTTTTATAAGAACAAAATGGCGCTTTTAGTGATATTTTGCATACAAATCCCCATCTAGTAGGGCGCAGTCACCCAACTTCCCCTTTAACCCATTGAACGCTGATGACGTCTATAGACGTCATTGAAAATGCCCCCCATGCGCGGGATGACGTCTATAGACGTCATGGGATATATAGTGATTTCTGGCACTGTCTGGTGTGTAAAAGCACTGTTAGTCAGTTGGATCATGATCCTGCCTCTTGTACGATAGGTCATTGGTACGAATCCAGCTTGGAAACACTATGCGTTTTTTTTTCTTCTCTTTTCAGCGATCTTTCAGCTGCAATTTCACGCATTTGGCGTATTTCACGCAATTTGAGCAAACTTGCGTCCCCTATTGTGAGGCGCTATTCTTTTTGGGGACTGTATCGATTCTGTCACCCTGTAGTT